CACTTTATCCTGAAGGTCACCCTAAAAGAGTTGAACAAGACTCTCAAGAATTAATGTTGATGCACCTAGTCCATAAAATAAGAAAAAGAAAAAAAACGATAGGACTTTGCATACGTCTAGTGAACCCGAGGTGGAAAAACCTTATGAGAATAGTAATGATGTTTCTATTTCTAATGCTGAGACACAGTCTGGTAATGAATATTAACCTAGTGATAATGATAATAATGATGTTCATGTAGATGCTCAACCAGATAAAGATAAAGAACCTAATAATGATGTTGAAATAAAACCAGTTGTTGATCTTGATAACCCACCTCCTAAAAACAAACATTATGATAAAACAAATTTCATTGCTAGAAACATGGTAAAAAAAGAGAACCATGGGTTCAGAAACCCATGCCTTTTCCTCGTAAACCATTTAAGAACAAAGATGAGGAAGAATTTGAACGCTTTGCTGAAATGCTCAGGCCAGTCTTTTTGCGTACTTATTTGACTGATAATTTGAATATGGCCACATATGCTAAATATATGAAAGATAGTCACTGATAAAAGAAAAATACCTAAAGATGAAATTTTGACCATGCTTGCAAATTATTCTTTTAAGGATGAAGTACCTAAGAAACTAGGAGATCCAGGAATACCAACTATACCATGCTCCATTAAAAGAAACTATGTTAAAACTGCTTTATGTGATTTGGGAGCTGGTGTTGTGTTATGCCTTTCTCTTTATATAAAAGACTTGATTTAAATAAACTCACACCTACTAAAATATAATTTCAAATGGCTGACAAATGAACTACCATACCTATCGGTATTTGTGAGGATGTGCCTCTTATAGTTGCTAACGTTACTATCTTAATAGACTTTGTTATACTTGATATGCCTGAGGATGACAATATGTCGGTTATCCTTGATAGACCCTTTCTGAACACCGCAGGGGATGTTATGATTGCAAAAAAAGCAAGGTCACTTTTCATATCAATGGTAATGAGCATACGGTGCACTTTCCGAATAAACAATTTCAAGTGAATGTTATTAATGTCATTGAAAAAACTTCGACAATTGCTATTGGAAGTTTCCAAGTCCCTCTCCATTCAAAAAGAACTATGAAACACTTATAATTGGGGAGATGCATATCCCCGTCGAGGTAACTTAGTGTTATATGAAAATTCTTTGGTTTCATGTTACTCGGAGATAGTTTGTTAATAAGACTTGATCAACCTTATTAATGGATTCTTTCTAAGGGGCATGTGGTCGATGAATTTAGTAAACACAACTTTTTGTACCTACTATCTGTTCTATGTTATTTTTAGTTAAATGCAATAAAATGCCATGATTATCCCGTTTTCCCAATTACCCGTGCAATAAAAAAATAGCCCACAAATAAAAGTGCTCAGAATGATGTGAAATTTGAACATGAATTTATATTGAATATTTAAGAATTTCTGGCACTGAAAACACCCTAGGGGGATGCCCCAAGTGCCCACGAGGCACTAGAGCGCGCCCACCCCCTGGGCGCGCCCTGGTGGCTTGTGGGCCCCATAGGGACCCCCTCACTTGCTCCTTCAGCTCACATCGTCACTTACCTCTAGAAAAAAATCATGGTAGCTCTCCCTCTCTCATGTTCTTGCTCTCAAACCTGCGATTTTCGATCTCTTTGCTCGAAGCTCCGTTTCTGAAACTGTTTTGGGAGATTGCTCCTTGGTATGCGACTCCTCCATTGCTCCAATTATTTTATGCTCTAATGGAATATATTTTGCATAATTAGTTGCTCTTGGTGCTACTGAAAATGATCTTGCATGTTGAATTCTTTGAGTTCCAAGTAGTTTTAATGCTTCATATAGCCTATAGACATCCATATGAGTAGTTGCTATCAATCTTGTGAAGTTTTATTGATATCATTTTGTGACCCAAAAAATTCAGAAATTTGTTCATAGGATAGATGAACTTCTTTAGGAGGAGTTCTTTGAGGAGGAGGTCCTCGGGGGGATCATTGAGTGAGAGCTCGATACGACAGGCTTATGTTGAACCAAGGGCAAGCTTGGTGCGGATTCCGATACTAAATCTTGGCGGTGGTTGTGTGATGAGTTTATGATAGGCACGGGTATCAAAGAAGAATTTGATCAATATGTCCATAATACTGAGCTCGCTCCCTCCATCGCAGATAAGTGCACGCAACATTACGACATCACCGACTCATTCACTAAAAAGTTTGAATTTCATTCTCGCGCACTACAACCTCACTGACCTCAAGGAGTTCTTTAAGCATGGACTTGACTTCGACCATCATAGATGTCTTAAGTGAAGCCATAGCTTCATTTAAGTCGTCTCGGGTGACCGAATTCAACTCCATGGCCTCGGGTACTTCAACAACACCACCATCGTCGTCAATCATACTCTTTGGGTGGTGAAACCCTAAATAAAGGGACGAGACTCTGATACCAATTGAAAGGATCGATACAGTTGACTAGAGGGGAGGGGGGAATAGGCAACTAGCATTTTTTAGCTTTTCTTAACAAATTAAGTTTAGCAACAAATAGGTTGTCTAGATATGCAACTAGGTGAGCAACCTATATGATGCTAGCAACGACAACAACAACAGAAGCAAGCAAATGATACAAACACAAGAAAAGCTTGCATAAAGTAAAGGTAAGAAGTAACCACAAGTGGAGCCGGTGAAGACGAGGATGTGTTACCAAAGTTCTTTCCCTCTGAGGGGAAGTACGACTCCGTTGGAGCGGTGTGAAGGCACAATGCTCTGCGAGAAGCCACTAGGGACATTGTATTCTCATCACGCCCTCACACAATGCAAGATACCGTGATTCCACTAGTGGTGCCCTTTAAGGCAGCAACCAGACCTTTACAAATAAGGTTGGGGATCTCTTCACAGCCGAATTGGAGGCTCTCAACACCGCCACGGAGCTTCACCATAATGGAATGTGGCTCCGAGGTGACCTCAACCGTCTAGGGTCCTCAAACACCCAAGAGTAACAAGATCCGCAAGGGATTAGTGGGGGGAATCACATTCCTCTTGGTGGAAGTGTAGATTTAGGCCTTCTCAACCAATCCCTAAAAAATCATCAAGTTTGATTTTCTAGGGAGAGAGAGTCGGGCGAAAATGAGCTTGTGAGCAACAATGAAGCTTGGGGGAGGAAGAGGTAAGTCAACTTGGAGAAGATGACTCCCTTGTATAGTGGGGAAGGAGATCCAACCGTTATGCACCTGTGCACAAGAGGTAAGCACGGAAGTTCCATGTGCTGCGTTCAATTGAGCAGGTCAAGGAGGCGGTAGTGTCGCCGGAGCAGTAGTATCTCTCCCACCATCGATACTTTGGCTTGGTATTGAACAACAACTAGAACTAGCGGTAGAAGAGAAAGGCAGGGCGGTAGTGCCGCCCAGGGCGGTACTACCGCTAGCAACTACTGCTCTACTTCCGCTCGAGGGACAGAGCTATCTAGAAAGCAAAAATAAAGTTGTACTCTGTGCGGTACTATCGCTCCGCTAGAGCGGTACTTTCGCTTAGCTGAAGTATGCCTAGTAAACCTGCAGTAGTGAGGTGGTAATCAGGGCCGTAGTACTGCTGGAGCGGTACTACCGCGCAGAACTGCCGCTCTACTACTGCCCATTTACAGAATATAAAAAACAAGCGGAAGTGAGGATAGCACTGAACTACGACAGTACCGCTGGAGCGGTACTACTGCTGAGCAGAACGGTACTACCGCTTAAGATGCTCTGGAAAGCCCAAGCATAGGAAAAGGACAAGCTCAGTTGCCGGGAAGAAAAGAGGGTGCGAGAGGACTGTGTACGTGTTGATTCCACCAAAACCTTTTTGAAACGGACTCGTTCTTAATTGTACGGTGTTCCTACGACTCAAAACCACCGAAAATGAAACGAAGAAAAAACATCGCCTTTGTAATAGCTCTGAGGGGCACGAATCGTCTTGTGCCATATGATAGATTATCTGAAATGCTCAATGCACACAATTAGTCCGCAAAAACATTGTCATCAATCACCAAAACCACTAAGGAAGAAATATGCCCTAACAAGTTGGCAGCGGCCTGGTCGGCGAGTTTTTTCGGGGCGCCGACCATGTAGGAGGGAGGGGAGAAGAAGCGCGGGAGGATTTTTGGGAATGAGAAGGAAAGTGAGCGCGTGATGTCCCTGACAAATGGGCCAGGGAAGGACAAGGGCTCACGTTCTGCCTGTCTGCACGCTGTTCGTTTTGACACAAATGTAACCCAAATTTAAATCAAAAGTGCGTCGATCGGAACAACAAACGGATGTTCCTGTTTGCTTCCGCATGTTGAGCCGCAGTTTTTATGTGTGTTTAACCTCAAACAGACGCGGCCAGACCATCCCGAACCGTCTCGTGGCAAACAACACGGGTCGAAATCAAACGCGTGCAAGGGCAAGGGTAGGCACCACGAAACCAATACGTGAACTCCCACCGATCCGACGGCCCGCACCGCCACCTCTCAATCAGACGGCCATATACTCGCTAATCCAAAGCAAAAAACAACACCGATAGACTTCAACCCCGGACCCACACGTCCATTCCCAACCTGTCAGCGACCTACCCACATAGAGCCAAAGGTAGCCACACGGCACCGCGTGCATAATTAACCAATAATATCTCGCCCTTAAGAGAAAACGATTTTGGAAAACCAGAAAAAGATGCTCTCCGCATCAGCCAAGCCCACCACGCCTCTCCGCTCCCCCGCTCCTCTCAAAGGAAGCACACCCCCCTGGGATGCCGCCACGTCAGCGATCCGCGCCGCGCGATCCGAGCGCCCCCATTGGTCGCCCATATAAGCCCCGCCCGCCGTCCCTGCGCCGAGTCCACAGCGCGACGCGTGAGCCGCCCCCTTCTTCCTCCAATGGCGAGGTAAACACCCCTTCCCCGTATAAATCACTGTATTTCAAATAGCCTCCCCAACCAAAACACCCCCGATTTTTTTATTTATTTGATTTCGGGAAGAGGAGGGGGGAGAGATAGAGAGATGGACGAGGCGTGGGAGAGGGCGGTGGAGGCGGCGCTCCACACCGCCGGCGAGGGGAGCTCGTCGCCGGCGAGGAGCCTGACCCTCGACGGCGCCGTCAAGTGCATGCACGGGCGCTTGCCGGCGCCGGAGATACTGGAGCGCCACCAGAGCCTGGAGCATCTCTCGATCGCAGGCGTCGGGGTCGCGTCGCTCGCGGGGTTCCCCCGGCTGCGGAACCTCACGCGCCTGACGCTCTCCGACAACCGCATCGCCGGCGGGCTCGAGCACCTCGTCGAGGCGGGGCTCGGTTCGCTGCGCGACCTCGACCTCAGCAACAATCGCATCCAAGATGTGGACGACCTCGCGCCGCTCGCCCGCCTCCGCCTCGTCTCACTCGACCTCTACGAGTGCCCCGTCACGCGGGTCAAGGACTACAGATCCAGGGTGTTCGGGTTGATCCGGACTCTCAAGTACCTCGACAAGATGGACGCCGACGAGAACGAGCGCCCGGAGTCGGACGACGACGACGACGATGGGGACGGCGAAGGTGATGGCGAGGAAGAAGATGATGATGAGGACGACGATGACGAGGATCCTGGAAGCGGCGAGGTGGCAAACGGGGGCGTCTCCCACTCGCGAGGTAGCGTGGCACCGCGCCCGGTGGAGGTGAATGGGGTGATCGATGTGGATGAGGATGAGAGCGAGGCCGACGAGGTCGTGCCCAATGGGGGAGCCGAACACCACCACAGGGCCAACGGGTTCAGGGTTGCAGCGGTTGGGGTAGCCCCTGATGAGGATGATGAAGACGTGGAGGATGACGACGACGATGCAGACGAAGAGTATGAGGAGGAGGATGATTTGGGAGAGGAGATAGATGAGGAGGGTGATGAAGATGACACTGTTGTTGAGGTACTTGACGTGCCCAGTAGTGATGATGAGGAGGATGGCATCGATGAGGATGATGATGATGAGGAGGAGGTTGAGGATGATGATGGTGAGGAGGCTGAGCCAGAGAGTAGTGGGAGGGTTGCTACGGCGGTGGGGGGCGTTGGAGAAGAGATCGATGGACATGAGCAAGGTGAAGGTGATGATGAGGATGAGAATGGTGAGATCGGAGAGGAAGACGAGGAAAGATTGGAGGATAGTAGGGTTTATGAGGAGGACAACGATGATGACGATGCTGATGATGAGGTATAAAACAATTTCCTGCTAGCCTTTGAAGTGTTTTACCTTACTGCAATTTCTGCATGTTCAGTTTGTGGGTGATTGCTCTAGTCATATTGTTTAGCAAGATAACTATTGACCACCACCCTACTATATTGCAGGTATATTTGAACTGTGGCTAGTTTTTCAGTTACGATATTTACCAGTTCATGCATTAGTTATGTGTGCTTGTTAAGTTTGCTGATTTGTGGGCAATGCATAGTTTTGGGGCTACCAAAGTAGAGTACTCCCTCCGTCCGGAAATACTTGTCATCAAAATGGATAAAAGAAGATGTATCTAGATGTATATAGACGTATTTTAGTTCTAGATACATCTCTTTTTATCCATTTTGATGACAAGTAATTTCGGACGGAGGGAGTACTTCATATGCCAGATCCCCGCTCGTAATCTTGTTGCTTTTTGTGGTAGGTTAGGTGAACACCTTGTGTATAAAGTATATTGTGGAAAAGTTATTTTAACGAAATTTGCTCATATGGAGATTTAAGGCAATCATGCTCCCAAGATATTGCTTGAACATGTTTGTTAACATATTATGTGATGTGAAAGCTCTGTACACTCAAAATGACCAGGAGTGTGTCAAAATGATTATGACAGATCTTGTAGTTTTAGAAGCTTGGGGATTCTGATTCCTTCATCTTTCTGGAAGTAGATTTAGTTCCTGATGTTGTTGACCTAAGACTTTACATATTCGAATGTTAAAATTAGTGACTGCCGCCTTGCTTGTGCTTCTAATATATTTGTTACAATTTGGGAATAATCGAAGATTTGGATACATCAGTTAAGCATGTCTTTCCCTATGTTCCTAGGACCTAATATCATATCCATCTACATGTACATCATATCTGGCTTAGTTCCTGACATTTTAGTGCTTCTAGTACATCATGTATTTATTTGTGGGCTTAAACAGATGTATCACCTGATGCATGTTTAGTAAGATGGAATTCTCCTCATATTTGTTTCTTCTACAATTTTTCCTTGAAAATTAGCTTCAGACATGGCCATTATCTTGTTTATTAGGCGGTATATTTTCTGTTACTTTATTAGTATTAATCATGTACTCTTTTGCAAGGTTATATGCTAATTTGTTTCTTTTACTACTCAAGTCATGTTATGCTGTTATCTTCAGGTTTATATCTCAACATATTGTTTATTTGTTTTGTTCTGGTTATACTGTTGATTTAGTTACGAGTTACCTGATTTTGTCTGCTAGAAGATTAGTTACCTTTAGCATGTCATGAACTTAAGCATTGTTTAAGCCTGTTGTTTTTTCATTTGCTCAGGATGAAGACACAGAATATCTTGTTCAACCAATTGTGACGCCCCAAGCCGTGGCTGTTGGTAGTCCAGGGGACTTTGATATTGCTGACCCTGATGATGTTGATGAAGACAGAGACGAGGTCGATGATGATGACGACGAGGGTGGCGCAGACCAGCCGTCGTCCTCGCAGGGTACCAAGCGGAAGAGGGATGATGACCCATCAGGCAGTGGCAGCGACGATGAGGATGATGATAATGAAGACCCGAGGCCGTTCAAGCACCAGTGACCATTGTACATGGATCATCCCCTTCGTCACCCCTTCTTCTCAGGTAGAAAGAAGTAATCAGGAGCAGCAGCAGCAGCAGCAGCAAAACAGAAATGGTGGGTTTCCCCCTGTTTTCCTTAGCCGTTTTTCTTGTAAAGACTTTGGTTTGGGGAGGGCTTCACCCTCCTTTTTAAACAGCAGATTTTAGGAGGGAAAATGGAGTTGTAGTCAGTGAACCAGCTTCCCTCTTTGCCTGCACCCTTGCTGAGTTTTCCCTCCATAATTTGAAATGGTAGTTACAACACCCCAGGGGGTTCCCTCCATCCTTTGAAATTCCTGTTACATTGCTATAGGCTGCACATTGTCAGGTTTCCCTCCAAGAGAAAGCCCGGGAAATGGCCCCCTTTGAAATGCCCCTAGTAGCCGTTGCCTGCATTTGAAAATTTTATACTTTGCCCTGGTTGAACTGTCTGTCTGTGCTGTGTGCTTCTTACTGATGATGACTGGCCGCCGGCTCTGCCTGCCGGCGGTTCTGCGCGGGCGCTACCTGCTTTGAGATAGGTGAAATGGCTGTGGTTGCAGCGATGGCTCCCTCCCTCCTATAGCAAATGGGCTTCGGAGTTATTTAGCAATTTTTGGCTACTGAGGCTTCGCCTTGCGCTGCTGTGTCTCTGGTTCACGGTGGTGTGCTCCGTGCCGGTCTACCAACGAGGCCCGAGCTGCGTCCCTCTGCCAGGTGGGTCCCCTTCCGTGGCTAGCTTTCGCCTCGCGGAGCCTTGCTTTTTCGTTGAGAAGAGTAAAAGGGGGAGGCCGCGGTGGGTGGGTGGGTGAGGATGCGATGCGATGGCGGAGTACAGCTGCTCCCTTTCGCTTTTCTTTTTTGGCAAGTTGCGCCGCGCAGCGCGAGTGGTGGGTGGGGTAACGCGACCGGTGGTGGCGCGAGCCGTGATGGCCTGGCGCGCCGTGGCGTGAGGCGCGGGATGAGCGCGCTGCCTGTCGGTGAGCGGCTCGAGGAGGAGAGAAGATCCCAGCGGATTTGGGTGGATGCCATCCTTGGATGCTTCCCGTTTCTAGGGCGACCCTGCTGCTTTCTTTGGCCGATGGGGATATTACGCCCCTGCCCCTGCCCCTGCCCCTGCCCTGAGCTCTCTGGCCCATCCGTATTGAACATCCGGCTCCCCAAGTTTGACGCGTCTCTGCGCTGCGCTGAAATTAAAACGGGAGGGGAAGAACGACACGCCTCCCTCTGCGGTTGCTGGGTCCACGCTGCGTGCTGGTCCCGCATGTCAGCCGCTCACGGTACGTTTGCCGTGTGCGTTTTGCTGCGTCGCGTTTCGCTTCGGAGATCTATATGCGCCGCCGCCGAATGGTGCTGGATTAGGTTAACTAGAGTGCATATTTTCTTCCCGCTGGAGTAATCAGCGGGCCCGTCTGGACTGAAAGCTGTACGCGAGTGGACGGATCAGGTTCAAGGTAGCTGGAAATTCCATATGTAGAAAATATTAATGGTTGGTTAATGGTTATTATTGGGAGTAATTAACTTGGGCCAGCAGCATGCCTTGCTCCGCGCTCTGCGCCGTGGTGGACTCGGTCCATACCGCGTTGTGCCGCTGCGTCTTGTGGCCCACCGTGTTTCTAGGCTCTTCTGACTGTGTGGTCCGTGTCTACAGATCCCTGCGCGCAACGGCCGCGATAAGGAAGGAGGGGACAGGCAGGACAGGCAGGCGAGCACGCGTTGCCCGTGAGCCGTGTGGTCGTTCGTGGTGGGGAGCTGCAGGATCGGACGGCACGGAATGGAAAGCGGTTGCGTGCGCTTGTGCTGCTGCGGCGTGGAGCGGGCCCTCGGCCCACCAAGTTGCGGGCGGGTGCCATTTTGCGTATGTGGACCGGGCCTAGAGGCTGCAGCGCGTTGGGGACTTGGGATTTGGGAAGTCAAAGTAGTTTGGCCGGGTCAGTGAAGTGGGAGAGGAGAGAGCAATGGAAAAACGACCCGATGCTGGGCGGGCGACAGTTCCATCCCAAAAAAAAAAGAAAGAAAGAAATATTTACAGTTCACCGAGAGCAATATATGCTCCGTTTGTTACATTCAGAGAAGTTAACATTCGACATGCTCATACCAAAATCGCCCTATAATCAAAGTTACTCAAAAAAAAAGTCGCTCTATATGAAGGCCAGAAGGTTGCACCCTCATTTTACTGAAGTTGCACACTTTTAAAGAGTGTACATCCTATATTTAGTAGTGCGGTGAAGAGTTTTCTCTTGAAATGTGATTTTTTTTCCTGAAATTCAGACAACAAAGTTTTTATCAAAAAAGAAATGTGACAGAGGACTTGCAATTTTGGCACATTTCACTTACAAGTGGGTCTACAAGCTCCTGTATCAAAGGGTTGCCACGAGCCAATTGCGGATAAAATTCATATCGTGTCAATATATTAATTCAATTTATTAGCGATAAAGTATCATCTAAACCATTCTGAAGATTTTTTTTTGAAAAAAGAGAGCTTGCCTCTCCGATTTCATTTAAAGAAATCAATTGTTTACACACTCCAGGACCGAACTTCGCACCAACAATCTGACTTTGCTATGTTGAAGAAGGGATCCATCCCTTCCTCCCCCCACACAGCAGTATGTCAAGATTGGCTAAATCCCCAGCGCCAAACTTTTGGGGAACGTAGTAATTTCAAAAATTTTCCTACGCACACGCAAGATCATGGTGATGATATAGCAACGAGGGGAGAGTGTTGTCTACGTACCCTCGTAGACCGAAGCGGAAGCGTTCACGTAACGTAGAGGAAGTAGTCGTACGTCCTCCCGGTCCAACCGATCCAAGCACCGTTACTCCGGCACCTCCGAGTTCTTGACACACGTACAACTCGATGACGCACCCCGATCTCCGATCCAGCAGAGGCGCGGGGAGGAGTTCCGTCAGCACGACGGCGTGGTGACGATCTTGATGTTCTCCTGTCGCAGGGCTTCGCCTAAGCACCGCTACAATATGACCGAGGTGTAATATCGTGGAGGGGGGCACCGCACACGGCTAAGGAACGATCTCAATGATCAACTTGTGTGTCTATGGGGTGCCCCCTACCCCCGTATATAAAGGAGAGGAGGAGGGGAGGGCCGGCCCTCTACTATGGCGCGCCCTGGGGAGTCCTACTCCCACCGGGAGTAGGATTCCCCCTTTCCTAGTCCAACTAGGAGACCTTCCATGTATTAGGAGTAGGAGACTAGGAAGGGGAAGAGAGAAGGGAAGGAAGGAGGGGGTGCGACCCCTCCCCCTAGTCCAATTCGGACTAGGCCATGGGGGGGCGCGCGGCCTGCCCTAGGCAGCCCCTCTCTCTTTCCCGCAGGGCCCAATAAGGCCCAATACTTCTCCCCGGCGAATTCCCGTAACTCTCCGGTACTCCGATAAATACCCAAATCACTCGGAACCTTTCCGAACTCCGAATATAGTCGTCCAATATATCGATCTTTACGTCTCGACCATTTCGAGACTCCTCGTCATGTCCCCGATCTCATCCGGGACTCCGAACTCCTTCGGTACATCAAAACTCATAAACTCATAATAAAACTGTCATCGAAACCTTAAGCGTGCGGACCCTACGGTTCGAGAACAATGTAGACATGACCGAGACACGTCTCCGGTCAATAACCAATAGCGGGACCTGGATGCCCATATTGGTTCCTACATATTCTACGAAGATCTTTATCGGTCAGACCGCATAACAACATACGTTGTTCCCTTTGTCATCGGTATGTTACTTGCCCGAGATTCGATCGTCGGTATCCAATACCTAGTTTAATCTCGTCACCGGCAAGTCTCTTTACTCGTTCCGTAATACTTCATCTTATAACTAACTCATTAGTTACATGCTTGCAAGGCTTAGGTGATGAGCATTGCCGAGAGGGCCCAGAGATACCTCTCCGACAATCGGAGTGACAAAACCTAATCTCGAATTATGCTAACTCAACATGTACCTTCGGAGACACTTGTAGTACTCCTTTATAATCACCCAGTTACGTTGTGACGTTTGGTAGTACCCAAAGTGTTCCTCCGGTAAACGGGAGTTACACAATTCTCATAGTTACAGGAACATGTATAAGTCATGAAGGAAGCAATAGTAGAATACTAAACGATCGAGTGCTAAGCTAACGGGATGGGTCATGTCAATCACCTCATTCTCCTAATGATGTGATCCCATTAATCAAATGACAACACATGTCAATGGTTAGGAAACATAACCATCTTTGATTAATGAGCTAGTCAAGTAGAGGCATACTAGTGACTATATGTTTGTCTATGTATTCACACATGTATCATGTTTCCGGTTAATACAATTCTAGCATGAATAATAAACATTTATCATGATATGAGGAAATAAATAATAACTTTATTATTGCCTCTAGGGCATATTTCCTTCAGTCTCCCACTTGCACTAGAGTCAATAATCTAGTTCACATCGCCATGTGATTTAACACCAATATTCATATCTGTATATGATTAACACCCATAGTTCACATCATCATGTGACGAACATCCAAAGGGTTTACTAGAGTCAATAATCTAGTTCACATCGCTATGTGATTAACGCCCAAAGAGTACTAAGGTGTGATCATGTTTTGCTCGTGAGAGAAGCTTAGTCAACGGGTCTGTCACATTCAGAGCCGTATGTATTTTGCAAATATGTTATGTCCATAATGCTCTGCACGGAGCTACTCTAGCTAATTGCTCCCACTTTCAATATGTATCCAGGTTGAGACTTAGAGTCATCTGGATCAGTGTAAAAGTTTGCACTGATGTAACTTTTACAACAAACTCTTTTATCACCTCCATAATCGAGAAACATCTCCTTAGTCCTTACTAAGGATATTCTTGACCAATGTCCAGTGATCTACTCCTAGATCACTATTGTACTCCCTTGCCAAATTCAGAGCAAGGTATACAATAGGTCTGGTACATAGCATACTTTATAGAACCTATGACTGAGGCATAGGGAATGACTTTTCATTCTCTTTCTATT